CCTCGATATCAGCTGAAACCTCCGTCCATTTTCGCTCGTGTAGCTTGTACTGTCGACGAGTCGAGTCGTGGAGTCGTCGAGTCGTGGTGAACCGGAAGTGAAGCGGTTCATATCCAACGCCTTGAAACACCTCCATCTTCTCAAAGGTGTGAGATAGGTGAGTAATGAAATATATTCTAACACTATTTTAACTGCCTTTTGAAGTAGTTGATGTACGCTGGAGCACTTCAGACTTAGGAATGTCAAAGCTTCCAACGTGTCTCTTTCTCCGCTGGCTTTTGAAGCTCAGGCCCTGCCCAGTTGCAGCACTGGGAGCTTTCGGGACAATAACTATGCCATACAATCGAATGCCACAAAGAAATCCATTTGAGATCGATCACTTCCTTCACACTCCTTCTGTCAAACATTGTCAAACACACCCTCGCATATACACATGATGCCGAAAAGAGACACTCTCCATCTTTTTAGCAGTAGGTGAACAATCCATGCATCTTGAAGCCCAAACATGGCATCCTGTCTATCACCGTCTCTGATCCCATCCTCTCATCTTCAAAACGGGCCGGTCTGACGCAGGACCCTTCTATGTCGATCAACCCCCAGAGCCTCGGCGCTTCGTGTTTCGTGCCACTTGTGGCTGGAGCCGATAGAAATGGAGACCACTCATGTGCAAATTCCCTTTCAATACTTCCCTTGTTCAATCTCCCCACATTGAGTGTTCCTCATCAAGCTTGGATGCTGATCATTTCATCAAGCGGCTTCAGTCGCTTGGGGAGATGGGTACCGTCTTCACCTGTTGAAGCGATCACGGATCTTCCGTCGCTGGGTACCGCCGACGGCTTCGCTGGATCGAGGCCGGTGAAGGACAAGGGCTTCTGAGCGACGACCTGCAGCGAAGCGGATGGAGTAGCGAAGCGCGGATCTTCCTTTTGAGGAACATGATCATGTGTTGATGGTGCGTGGTCGTCATGGTGTTTTGGGGGTGTTACAGTAGGTATTTGAGGATTTGGGGTCCTGAAGGAAGGAAAGAATCATCATGAAGCGACCACATTCACTTGGTGTTTTGGATCTTGAGGGCAAGGTCCCTTCACTTTGAAGGCCAACCGCCAAGGAATCTCACCTCAGAAACCTCCCGTACCAGTGCCCAGGCCCCTCGACCAAGCGAGCAATTCGCACCTTGCCATTCACCAGGATTCGCATGAGCGAGGCAGGTGCTCCGGCAATCACGGCGGTCAGGACCTCAGGGTCATGTCCCGGTGGGGTCGGGACTTGGAAGGGAGAGAAGCGATGATGATGATGATGATGATGATGATGATGATGATGATGATGATGA